GATAAATAAAAAATTCACGACCTGCTTTTAATACAAGACCCACTCGCCCGGAAGTCGCAAAACATAAATAAAAGTAAGTTATCGTTATTAAGTAAATTACAAGGAATTGTTCCAGAGCCTCGGGATGTATGAGGAGAATTCTTTGAGAACGTTTTTCATTAATTAAGATAATTAATTAATTTACACAGATAAAACAGATAGGCAAAAATAAATGTAGTGGAATAACGTCTAATGAAACTCACTTTTGTATCGCAATCGACAAGGTTCAGTTTGCTTTGATTTTTTTGCCCGGCAGCTAATCTAGTGGACTCTGACTTTTGTACTCAGTTTTTGATTTCCGGTCCAAATGCTTTTGTCTCAAGAAACCTATCTTGATGGTCTTGTATGGGGTACGTTGATTTTGCAACAAGCTAGCATTTTCATATTCAATTTCATTAACAACCTATTTTAGTGAACTGTTGGAGATAAGCCTCTTCAAGGCATGCCAGCCGTCGCACTTACGATCGGTGGCCAAAAAAGTACTGGAGTTACCTCGTAACATTGCAACGTGAGCAGACAACCAAGGAGGGGGACTGCCAACCTAGTCAAAACTGGTGAGAAGTGGGTGTGAAAGGCAAGAGACCGAAAAGAATGGAGTGCATATGAACAGACCTATACTCGGAATTGAGTCGAACCCGTCGCTTGCGACGAAAGGCTCGGCGAGTAAATTAACCCACAGACACAGCCCACTGAGTTTCTCGCCGGATCTTCTCAGTGGGTCGCGTTTCCAATCCGGTGCTAGATTCTGCGAAGCACGGCTCTTGCTAGGGTTCGTGCTAGCAACGTCGTCAGGTTTGAGCAGCGTGAGCTCACCTACTAGTTAATATTACGCTGCTATGGTTTCTCTAAACAATTAGTATGGGGAGGAAAAAAATATGGTGGCTAAGAAATCTTACATGAATCAAATATAATTTCGGCACCCCGAATATGAATAAGGAGGTCGCAGTAACGTATCTCGTGAATATCCGGAGAGGCTTTTATCACATACGATCCTCCGACCTTCGCAAAATCACGAGCGATTCATAATAAAAATTCTAACAAAAGCAACGGAATTTTCATCTGTTACACTCTGTAATATTACCGGCGTTCGCATGAGGGTAAATCCCATGTTTTAACATAATAATAACATTACTTTTCATGGAATTCTTCGGTGCTGTAAGCGCTCACGATGATATTATTATACATGATTACATACGAGCTCTATATTGACTATTGAAGAAACAAACAGGGAATTATGTACGAAGGAATCCAGGATTACTACACTGTATCTAGGCAGGATGGTCGGACCAATCTACGATACTCGTATTTCAGATAATTACTTTTTTTTAATGTAGATGATGTGGATCACCTGGTGTTATGTGGTTAAGGAAGCACATAAATTTCTTGATGGAAATACCCCATCCATTCTGGGAATTTGGGGTCGAAATCTAGTTAATTCATATCACGATCTGCTGCCAGGAAATTCCGGTTAGCGACGGCAATATGCTGATGTACTGATACTACATAGCAGGAGCTAAGAAAAAAAAGTTTGGAAGCAAAAATAAAATAATTTCTTGACAGTAGTAGTCCATTGTAACGGATGCAGTGATGCAGTAACAGTAACTACGGGAAGCCGAGTGGTTAGACTATGTCTCGAGATAGATTATTACTAATTTTAATTTGATCCTCCGGCGTTCTCACAAGCCTTTCTAAAATGATCTCTAAGCGCATAGTTGAGAATGTAGCGATTCTAAGTAGAGATGAACTTTGCTTCGGTGGTAACGGTATCACGGTAACAACTGTTAGGTGTTTGATACAGAGGATATTTGAATTCGTAATTTCGCCACTCTAGTCAAATTAAGAATACGAGGTCGTTGAGACCCGTACCAATGACAGAACGAACGCGAGGAGAATGTGAAAGGCGATATCTCGAAGAAAAAGATTTAATTTATGTACCATTGAAAGTAGAATTCTAATTTAATATAATCTTTAGAACAATAATTCAAAATGGAATCTCCGACCAATAATTCACAGCACTTGAAGTTAATCTGTACTATGCTTAAGGGTAATCTTAATTTATTGGCCAGAAATTCTAGCTAATGGCTTTACAGTTCATTGAAATAAAATCGATAATTGTTAGATCTCATATTCATATGATTGATACAACTATTTAAATACACAAAATATAACTTTTTTTTATTGCTGAAATGGGAGGACGAGTTCACGTCCCACCTGGTGTTAAGTGGTTACAACGTAAATATGCTACCCACCTGTACCAGGTAAGAGATATAGTATCCGCTATATCAGTCTTTTGGTATTTGATTAAGCAAGGTTTGGATTCCTTGGAAGACTACGATTTTTAACAGATACTTAAGACTTGTTCAAGATTTTTTTTTCAAATGCGCAATATGGTACTTTCTTTGTAATGTTCGGACCAGTATGCCTATACAGAAAAAATGTGATTTTGCGCGGGTTCAATGAGCTCATCATATTTTAGCCGCATACAACCCATATCTTATAAAGCAGCTGTTATTATTATTTATTGCTTAGATAGGTGGACGCGCTCACAGCACACTTGGTGTTAAGAGGTAACGAGCCCATAGACATCGACGACCTAAATGCGCTACCCACCTTGAAATATAGCTTCTAAGGTCTCAAGTACAGTTACAACGGCTGCCCCACCCTTCAAACCGAAACGCATTACTGCTTCACGGCAGAAACAGGTAGGTGGTACCACGGAATAGATAAATAAGGTTGGAAAGGCCTTTGCTCTAATTTTGTATTAGAACCAGTGTCGCCGCTTCATCCCCACTATTTTAATTTCTACACATACACACACTGTGATTACAAGTATTTCGCACACAACAAAAACACCCACACATAAATCTCAGGACAGATATTCGTTCGCAAACTAGCACAAAACACCCNGGTTCCCTCGTTCAGCGGGCCGAGAGCCCGCTTTGATGGCGCCGCGTTACACCTTCCCCCAGAGCGGTCGGGGGAACGCGGTCTACCATCACCCGGCTTCCTATTGCGGGTGAGCGTGCAAAGCACGCCACCCCACGTCTGGGTCTCTCCCCGCACAAAACGGGTGGGACCCCTAGCTCTTAGGGGGCCAGGTCACGGATACGACCCCAGTCCCGACCCCCTGCTCGGCGGCGGCGGGTTTCTGCGTAGTGAGGAGAGCTTTCCCTCACTCGCCCCGCCGCCTCCTTCTGCGAGATGGTGCACTCGCAGAAGTCGAGCATAGCCTTCCATGACTCATCGCTGCCAAGCATCGACGCCACGACGCCAGGCAGCGACAAGGGACTGCCGACCTAGTCAAAATTGGTGAGAAGTGGGTGTGAAAGGCAAGAGACCAAAAAGAATGGAGTGCATATGAAGAGACCTATACTCGGAATTGAGTAGACACAGGTAAAAGAAGAGAAGGTATGCCACGCGACCTAGTTCTGGGCCATTCGTCTCTAAACGCCGCCTGCTATTATGCGTATATCGTCACTCTACCTAGTTACTGGGCATTCTACATTTACCAATTCGTGGTCTCCATTCCAGAACATTTAATTTTCATCAAAACCATGTCATCAGGTAATAATTATTGCATATTTTTAGCTTTATAAAGAATCCACTTCAAATGTTTCCAATAGGGATGTGGCGCGTATATTTATACACCCACAGCATGTTTGCGGTTAGAAAAAATGCGGTGCGATGCGCAGACCGTAGGTTTATGTTGGGTGTGCGTGAAAATGGGAGAATGGAGCCCGAATCAGAGAATACAGTAGGTACTCGTGACTCAAGTAAGGTAGAGTTCCTCAATGGTTCATCTTGTGCATAAAAAAGTATCCTTACGTACTCTGTCATTGGAAAGATATCTATTAAGGATGTATCCTCCCGCCACCGGAAGGTACGACCGATGTTAGATGGGAATGAAAATGAGGCACGCGAAATGGGAAAGCTCATAACCTTAAAAGTCCTCGGTGTTCCTGGACCTTGAACTTATATGAGGGGGTCTTAGAATCGACTGCCATCCCAATACTTAAGCCGGGCTATAACTATGTTAATAGCAACAAAATTCGCTATAACTTAAGGCTTCAGAATGAACTCTCCCAATTAAGTACTTATGGTAGTTCCGGTCATCGTTCTTTAGGTATATACGACAAAGGGAAGATCTTCCACCGAGCTGGTGATATTGCTCGGTAGACCGACGGTCCGAATGTTGTTGTTCGGAACTTGTATATATGCAAGCTTATCTTGAAAATGTCGTAAGCGAGATTCAAGCATCTGTCAATTATCTTGCGTTGTATGTTGGCTACCCGCCACAGTTCTCATCGAACCCGCCGCCTGCGACAAAGGGCTCGGCGAGTAAATTAACCCACAGACACAGGCCACTGAGTTTCTCGTTTCACGGCTCTTGCTAGGGTTCGTGTTAGCAACATCGTCAGGTTTGAGCCCCGTGAGCTCACCTACTAGTTAATATTACGCTGATATGGTCTCTCTAAAAATCAGTATGGGGAGGAAAAAAATTATGGTAGCTAAGAAATCTTACATGAATCAGATATAATTTCGGTACCCCGAATATGAATAAGGAGGTCGCGGTAACGTATCTCGTGAATATCCGGAGAGGCTTTTATCACATACGATCCTCCGACCTTCGCAAAATCACGAGCGATTCATAATGAAAATTCTAACAAAAGCAACGGAATTTTCATCTGTTACACACTGTAATATTACCAGCGTTCGCATGAGGGTAAATCCCATGTTTTAACATAATAATAACATTACTTTTCATGGAATTCTTCGGTGCTGTAAGCGCTCACGATGATATTTTTATACATGATTACATACGAGCTCTATATTGACTATTGAAGAAACAAACAGGGAATTGTGGACGAAGGATTCCAGGATTACTGTTCGAAACATAGCAACCCTATTTTCCTCACCGCGGCGGAAGCGGGGGAGAGGCGTGGACTTACAGAACAAAAACGACGTGCATCGACGAAAAACGCAATCATTGTCGGTCCCGTAAAATTGTACCAGCTTTCATCCGATTAATAAACCAGCTTTAAATACAGTCCACTTTTATTCGTATGAGCCTTGCACCCAACATCTCATCGCAACGGCGCCAACATATGGTCCTTCAAACCTCAACATAATCGGAAGAAGATTGTACATCGGGTCTTTCAAAGAAGTCTTTTGGAGCCTAGGACGCCTATCAACCTTTGTGGGTCTACATTCCGCTGGAAATTCGTCGCCACTGCTTGAAAAAGAAGATCATCTGTTTTTTCAACGCCTACCTACACTTCAAATTCAAGCAGCGCCTCAGGTGGATTACCTTCGTGGAACGCCCATAATTATCTACTCTACAGAAGAAGTCCGAATCCAGCTCACCGACAACATTTAAAAAACAACAATCCAACAAACGTACAACATTGCCGCACCAGCTGAGTACAACACAACCAACACCATTATTCAAGGTCTCGTAGGATCAAGTCACAAGAGGTTTACAAAGAAAAGATACGTAAGATCGTTCCTTATATTTTATTCTTTCCATTCCTCATTAACATTAACATTAACATTCATAACCATAACAATTAATTGCTACCGTCAACATTTTCACTATTAACAAAAGGTCCAAAGGTCATTCTTCTCATTTTTGTCAATCACTTTTTATGCTTCTCATTAAGTTTTTTTTAAACACAACATAAAATAACACAAGAGCTTTGCTTTTCACGCTTGTTCATTTCATCGCTAATATATAATTTACATTTACACATTTCGTTAGGTATAGCTTTAAACTATTATTGTAGTGTATCATTTGCTTGACACTAGATTTAGATTTAAATTCACAATTTAATTTTAATACTAAACTTTTAAATTAACTCATTCGCCTTCTAATAAAACATTGTAGAAACTTTTATTGAAAAAATTATATATATCGCGGGTAGTTTGAATTAAAACACTCCTTAAGTACAGCTGTTAATAATTTTTGCTATTATACTTATTCAGGGACTTAGATTTTGCTTGGCAGTCTATTGCTATAATTTTTTTGGCAGGGTCAACTTTTGCTTTTAGTTGCTTCATTGCCTTTGGGAAGTAGATAGTTGGTACTCATAATAAAGATGCCTGAAGGCAAAGTAAAAGACTTAATTAAAAGGAGGGCCTCAATAAAGGCCAAAATAACACAATTCTCTACGTATTTGGATGTCCTACGGGGTTGTGATTATCTCAATGATGTGCAATTCTCGGAACTCCAAGTACGTCTTGAGAAATTCGAAACCTTATACGGGGACTTCGACACTTTTCAGAGTGAGATCGAGATGCTGTCAGACGCGCCGGAAGACCATTATAAGGATCGTGAGTCCATTGAGTCGCAGTACTACAAGCTTGTGGCTTCTGCGCGTACGCTGTTGGATCAACGCAAAAATAATGACGGTAGGTCCGAGGTAAGCTCTGAAAATGGCATGAAGAATACCACCGTGTTAAGTCAAAAGCCAAATTATATTAAGTTGCCAAAGATTGATATACCCCACTTTGACGGTTGCTACCAGCACTGGCTTGAATTTCGAGACACTTATATTTCTTTGGTTCATGAAAACGATACCCTCGACAGTATTAATAAATATCACTATTTAAGAGCTCCTCTTCATGGAAGCGCTGCTTTAGTAATCAAAAGCTTAGATTTTAAAGCAGATAACTACTCTTCTGCGTGGACTCTCCTCTGTGAGCGTTATGACAATAAGCGCTTACTTGTCAACAATCACGTCCAAACTCTTTTTAATGTTGACGTCATACAAAAAGAATGCAGTAAGAGTTTACGACACATTGTAGATGTAACCAACAAAAATCTTAGAGCCTTAGCCACATTGGATCAACCTGTCGAACATTGGGACACTTTGGTGATTCATATGATGGCGTCTAAATTGGACAGCATCACTAGTAGGGGCTGGGAAGAGCATCGTAATACTCTCAACGACCCTCCAACTCTAAAAATATTTACTAAATTCATTTCAAATAAAGCCGATTTATTGGAAACGTTAGAGGATGCGCGTCGAATCAAGTCTAAAAATGAACATTTTAAGTTTAAAGCACTAACTACCATTAACAAAAATAAAACAGTTGCGTGTCCGTTATGTAATCAGGAACACTTCCTGTACGCGTGCGAGTCTTTTAGAAGTTTGTCGATTGAAACACGTATTAGGAAAGCAAAAGAGCTTAGAGTGTGCCTTAACTGTCTGAGGCCTGGACACACTGATTCTCAATGTAAGCTTAGCCATTGCAAGTACTGCAAGTTAAAACACAACACGCTTCTTCATTATACGAAGCAAACAGCCGCAGTTGAAACCGTTGTCGTGTCAGCCACGGCAACTGATACTTCATCACACGTTTTACTCTCTACGGCGTTAGTTCAGGTTTTAGACTCTAAGGGGCAAACGCACACTGCACGTCTTCTTTTAGACAACGGGAGTACTGCTAACTTTATTACGGAGGATCTCTGTCATAGGCTTAATTTGAGAACGAAGCGTGTGGATTACATAGCATGTGGTATCAGCAATAAAACCTCCGCGTGTAATGAATCGTGTTTGATAAGCATACGTTCATTAGATGGCAACCACAACTTTAACATCAATTGCTATCTCTTGAATAAAATTACGAACTCTTTACCCTTAGCATATTTAGAAAATAAAAACATAAATATACCATCGGGAGTATCTTTAGCGGATCCAACTTACCATATTCCATCCTCCATTGACATATTGGTCGGAGCAGATGTTTTCTGGAATGTCATAGGTACAAACCGTATTCAACTAGGCAAAAATAAACCTGTTCTTTTTGAAACCAAACTTGGCTGGGTAATTTCTGGTTCCCTCTTAAACAAGACTAACTCTAAAGATTTACATTGCTTATTAAGTTGCGATTCTTCAAAGATCAGCACAGATCTTACTAAATTTTGGGAGCTAGACTCTATACCATCTTCAACAATCAACGATTTAAATAGTCATCCGTGTGAAAAGGTGTTCACTGAAACTACAACGCGCGCTGAAGACGGACGCTTTAACGTGACCTTACCTTTCCATGAATCACCAAAATGTTTAGGAGACTCGTACTATATGGCCAAGCACCGGTTCCTTTCACTCGAAAGGAGACTAAAATCAAACAAGACACTTAGAATGCTATACGGTAGCTTCATGCGCGAGTATCTCGATCTTGGTCACATGAGTGAAAATATCCACAATACTAACAATAACGTGGTTCAGTATTTCCTTCCTCATCATGGTATTTTAAAGGAATCGAGTACAACTACAAAATTGCGAGCAGTCTTCGATGCATCTGCTCGTACATCGACAGGTAAATCACTAAATGATATTCAGATAGTAGGCCCCACGATACAAGATGATTTATTTTCAATTTTAATACGATTTCGACAACATCTGTATGTGGTCACGGCCGATATAGAAAAAATGTATCGACAAATTTCATTAGACAGTTCTCAACGCCCTTTACAACAAATTTTATGGCGATTTAATCCTTCACAACCCATAAAGACGTACACACTAAACACATTAACTTATGGCATGGCCTCAGCTTCCTTTATAGCAACCCGATGTCTTATACAGCTAGGCAATGAAGCTCATGATGACGATGTTAAGCGCGCTATATGTCATGACTTTTATGTTGATGACTACTTAGGTGGAAGTCACACCATTCACAGCACCATAGAATTGTGCAGAAAGATTAAAGTTGCCCTCCAGTCTGGACAATTTAATCTTCGTAAATGGCATTCCAATAGTTCTGAAATTCTCAGAGCTGTTAGCGATACTTCGAATGATAACGCAGATTGTGTAGATCTGAGTTCCAACGAACACTCGAAGACTTTAGGTCTTAATTGGAAATGTCGCGCTGACAATTTATACTTTTCGATAAATTTGTCACCTTCACTCATTATAACAAAGCGGTATATCTTGGCTACCGTAGCCCAAATATTTGACCCGCTTGGCTTAGTTTCGCCTTGCATTGTAGAAGCTAAGCTTTTGCTGCAAGATCTCTGGAAACATAAATGCTCATGGGACGACGAGATCATGGAACCTTTAAAGAAGACATGGCTTAACTTTGTTAAAACCTTACCTCATCTCAATGATATTCTAATTCCACGCTGCGTTATTTCTCAGCCGATTGGAATACAGCTTCATGTTTTCACGGACGCATCGGAGAGAGCCTACGGCGCATGTGTTTATGTTCGAAGTGAGACGTCAGAAGGATCCATAAAAACCATTCTTTTAGCATCAAAAAGCAAAGTAGCTCCTATAAAAACTACTACGATTCCAAGACTGGAACTTTGTGCCGCCATGCTTGGTTCCAAATTATGTGAAAAGATCACCACGACTTTAACATTAAAAGTAGAAAGGTGTTCATTTTGGTCGGACTCAACGATAGTTCTCGGTTGGATTGCCTCTTCTGCAATTCATTTGAAAAAATTCGTAGCTCATCGTGTGTCTGAGATACAGAAAATCTGCGCTGGACACGAATGGCGGTATGTCCCTTCAAAGGAAAATCCAGCAGACTTGGTATCTAGAGGATTGAACGCTAGTCTGTTACGTAATTCCGCTTTATGGTGGTCGGGACCTTCATTTTTAGCTCAGGACCCATCACACTGGCCAACCAACCCAAATTATACCGATCATCTTCCAGAAACTGTTCATGCTTTACACATAAATCAAGACTCTTCAAAAAATTGTATATTGTCAAATCTAATTCAGAACACATCTAGATTTTCTAGGTTAATTCGCGTGACATCTTATATCTATCGTTTTATATCTAATTGTAATCATAAACATTTACAAAAAGGGAGACTAACTGACTTAGAATTAAGAAATGCAACAAACCATTTATTATTTGTAGCTCAGGAAGAATCGTTTTCTGCAGAGCGTTCTCTTTTAATCGCTGGTAGGCCTTTACCGATTAAAAATAAACTTATTTCTCTGTCACCTTTCCTCGATAGCGATGGGTTGATGAGAGTTGGCGGTAGACTCAACAATTCAGATTACGAATTTAATATTAAGCACCCAATTCTTCTCCACGCTAACCATCGTTTAACTAATCTTATATTTGAAATGTTACATCTTAAACATTTACATTGTGGTCCTAAACTCTTATTAGCAATCACTAGGCACAACTATTGGCCCATTGGTGGCAATAATTTAGCTAAAAAGGTTGTGCGAAACTGTGTGACGTGTTGCAGATTTAAGGCTACTACTGTTCAGCCACCCATGGGGGATTTACCACGTCAACGTGTGCACCTGGAATATCCCTTTCTTCAAACTGGCGTTGATTACGCTGGCCCAGTGTTGGTAGCAAACCGGAAAGGTAGAGGTTCTAAACTAATAAAATCATACATCTGCGTGTTCGTATGTTTGGCAACAAAGGCCGTACATTTGGAGCTTGTCTCAGACCTGTCCAAGGATGCATTCATTGCTGCTTTGAATAGATTTACTGCGCGACGCGGGAAGCCACAATCAATTCTGTCTGATAATGGTACCACCTTTGTTGGAACGTTCAATGAATTATCCAAACTTCTTAGTCGTACCCTTCCTTCCGATTTGGCAGAGCAAGAGATTAAATTTTCTTTTATACCGGCATACACACCACATTTTGGCGGACTTTGGGAGTCAGCCGTTAGGTCTACGAAATATCACTTGCGTAGAATTTTAGGGCTAACACATCTCACATTTGAAGAAATGACGACTTTATTAACTCAAATTGAAGCCATTTTAAATTCAAGGCCTCTCATTCCTCTGTCAGATGATCCTTCGGACTATTATCCTCTCACTCCAGCTCATTTCCTAATAGGACGATCTTTACTCTTTGTACCTCAGCCTGATTTAACAAATGATTCAACTTTAACCTCTCTTAAGAGATTCCAGCGTATCGAGTACCTTAAGCAGCATTTTTGGCAGCGATTCTCCAATGAGTACGTCGTGTGGCTACAACAAAAAATGAAATGGCCGACTCAAAAGGGAGACTTAAAAGAAGGTATGATGGTTGTCATCAAGGAGAAGGGACTACCACCTCTTATGTGGCTGCTCGGACGCATTATTCGTCTTTGTCCTGGACGAGATGGAATTACACGTGTGGCAGATATCTTAACCAAGAAAGGTGTTATACGACGCGCTTACAACAACATATGCCCGCTACCAGTCAATATTTGAAGTACTTCAACCCGGGGAGCATGTTCGAAACATAGCAACCCTATTTTCCTCACCGCGGCGGAAGCGGGGGAGAGGCGTGGACTTACAGAACAAAAACGACGTGCATCGACGAAAAACGCAATCATTGTCGGTCCCGTAAAATTGTACCAGCTTTCATCCGATTAATAAACCAGCTTTAAATACAGTCCACTTTTATTCGTATGAGCCTTGCACCCAACATCTCATCGCAACGGCGCCAACAATTACTTTTTTTTTTTATTGCCTAGATGTGTGAACGAGCTCACAGCCCACCTGGTGTTAAGTGGTTACTGGAACCCATAGACATCTACAACGTAAATGCGCCACACACCTTGAGATATAAGTTCTAAGGTCTCAGTATAGTTACAACGGCTACCCCACCATTCAAACCGAAACGCATTACTACTTCTCGGCAGAAATAGGCAGGGTGGTGGTACCTACCCGTGCGGACTCACAAGAGGTCCTACCACCAGTAAGGTAGAACCTCTTGTGTACATACAGTGTTACTTCACGGTATCTAGGCAGGATGGTCGGACCAATCTACGATACTCGTATTTAAGACAATTGCTTTTTTTTTAATGTAGATGATGTGGATCACCTGGTGTTAAGTGGTTAAGGAAGCACATAAATTTCTTGATGGAAATACCCCATCCATCCTGGGCATTTGGGGTCGAAATCTAGTTAATTCATATCACGATCTGCTGCCAGGAAATTCCGGTTAGCGACTGCAATATGCTGATGTACTGATACCACTCGGCAGGAACTAGGAAAAAAGTTTGGCAGTAAAAATAAAATAAGGAATTTCTTGACAGTAGTCCATTGTGACGGATGCAGTGATGCAGTAATAGTAACTACGGGAAGCCGAGTGGTTAGACAATGTCTCGAGATAGATTATTACTAATTTTAATTTGATCCTTCAGCGTGCTCATAAGCCTTTCGAAAATGATCTCTTTAAGCGCACCGTTGAGAATGTAGCAGTCCCGGGTAGAGATGAACTTTGCTTCGGTGGTAACGGTATCACGGTAAAAATTGTTTGGTGTTTGATACAGAGGATATTTGAATTCGTAATTTCTCCACTCTAGTCAAATTAAGAATACGAGGTCGTTGAGACCCCCGTATCAATGACAGAACGAACGCGAGGAGAATATGAAAGGCTATATCTCGAAGAAAAAAAATACTTTATGTACCATTCAAAGTAGAATTCTAATTTAATATAATCTTTAGAACAATAATTCAAAATGGAATCTCCGACCAATAATTCACAGCACTTGAAGTTAATCTGTACTATGCTTAAAGGTAATCTTAATTTATTGGCCAGAAATTTTAGCTAGTGGCTTTACTTCATTGAAATAAATTCGAAAATTATTGGATCACATATTCATATGATTAATAAAGTTACATATTTAAATACACAAAATATAACTTTTTTTTTATTGCTGAGATGGCTGGACGAGTTCACGGCCCACCTGGTGTTAAGTGGTTACAACGTAAATGCGCCACCCACCTGTACCAAGTAAGAGGTATAGTATCCGCTATATCAGTCTTTTGGGATTTGATTAAGCAAGGTTTGGATTCCTTGGAAGGCTACGATTTTTTTCTAACTAAACAGATACTTAAGACTTGTTCAAGATTTTTTTTTCAAATGCGCAATATGGTACTTTCTTTGTAATGTTCGGACCAGTATGCCTATACAGAAAAAATGTGATTTTGCGCGGGTTCAATGAGCTCATCATATTTTAGCCGCATACAACCCATCTCTTATAAAGCAGCTGTTATTATTATTTATTGCTTAGATGGGTGGATGAGCTCACAGCACACCTGGTGTTAAATGGTTACAGGAGCCCATAGACACCTACGACGTAAATGCGCCACCCACCTTGAGGTATAACTTCTAAGGTCTCCTGTGGTCTCAAGTATAGTTACAAAGGCTGTCCCACCCTTCAAACCGAAACGAATTACTGCTTCATGGCAGAAACAGGCAGAGTGGTTGGACCTACCCGCGCGGACTCACAAGAAGTCCTACCGCCAGTAATTACGCAAATTATAATTTTGCGGGTTTGATTTTTATTACACAATGTTATTCCTTCACTGTGGAATTCAATCGTGAACATTTGTTGAGTCGTATTTCATTAGAACAATTGGTACCCGCCGTCGGGATTCGAACACCGGTGCATCGCTCAACACGAATGCACCGGACGTCTTATCCCTTAGGCCACGACGACTTCAAACTGTTTACAGCAGATGGGCTGTATGTTCCTCTACCCAAGCTAGTAAAAGGTGAAGTAAGTGATGCGCGTAGTAGGTCATCAAGGTGAACGGCTTCGGACGCATCAGGCTGACCCGAGTTGTATTGCATTGTTGGGACATTATAGATTTTATTAAAATTGTACGTGGGAGAGAACAAGCAAATTGGTTTGAGATTGCGCTTGTCCTGTAGTCCGTAGGAGTCTGAGCCATTACGCTCACCACAAACCAAGGCCTGACGGGGAAGTCAGAGGTCCCTTGGAGACACCCAACAATAATGGGACGCAGCGCTTGAAACTTTGAACTGATTAACTCAAACGATTCACAATTTTTCTAAACCTCGTAAGCCAAGTCATTAATCCAAGCTGGTAAGTTCCATTTCAACCGTAAATCACCTCGACACTCGACACTCAGGCTTCACACTTTTCTACTGGTGGTAGGACCTCTTGTGAGTCCGCACGGGTAGGTACCACCACCCTTCCTATTTCTGCCGTGAAGCAGTAATGCGTTTCGGTTTGAAGGGTGGGGCAGCCGTTGTAAGATAATTGAGACCTTAGAACTTATATTTCAAGGTGGGTGGCGCATTTACGTTGTAGATGTCTATGGGCTCCAGTAACCACTTAACACCAGGTGAGCTGTGAGCTCGTCCACAAATCTAAGAAAAAAAAGGTGTCGGTTTCGGACGCATCACATCAATCCAAGCTGGTAAGTTCCATTTCAACCGTAAATCACCTTCAAGCTCGACACTCAGGCTTCAGACGCGATCGCATCTTAATGATGCTACCCGGATATCCTAGAAGTCATCTACGAACACGTCGGGAACTGTAGCTATACAGCTAGATCAGCAGATACAGCTACACACTCGATCGTAAGAATGTTTTTCATCAAATATTAGTTTACTAAAACGACTGTTTGCTTCCAAGTAAAGAACAGTTTTAAGGAGCATTACTAACATTAAATGAAAAGTTTACTGTCTTTATCTTATCTGTTGTAGTAGGGGGATAACTTGTTGGCACAAAACGTTGAGAGTTTTCCGTGTAGGGCCACAAGAGAGCACTTATGAGCGGGGCTTAAAAACGGATGCGACGCGCTTTTGGATTACGACACTAAAGACATGGAATTAGTAATATGAGGGCATAATGAGAAAAGTTTATTATAAAACGTATTTCTTAAGATACCGTTATTAAGAAAATGGGGTCTAAGTGTCAGCTGTCGCGGCAGAAATGTAGCGTGATTGTAATAGCCCTTACCCATGCGGTAGAACCTCTTGTGAGAGTAAATACCCCCACCCTGCCTATTCCTGCCGTGAAGCAGTAATGCGTTTCGATTTGAAGGGCGGGGCAGCCGTTGTAACTTATATCTCAAGGTGGGTGGCGCATTTACGTCGTAGATATCTATGGGCTGCAGTAGTCACTTAACACTAGGTAAGCTGTGAGATCGTCCAACCATCTAAACAATAAAAAAAAATCGAGCTCATAAGAGTCACAAGACGAATTACTACACATGTCTATACACCAACACGCAATACACCCAAAATATGCTTTTTTTGATAGTCAATCACTGTCACCATAGCTTTTATTTATTTATTTATTTAAAAAAGTACTGCCACATGACAAACATTTAACATTGAAAATAACTTAAACTATTTAATTTACGGCCTAATGCATGTGACAATAATGGTGTCAATAACATTGGCAATTCATCGGCTCGAAGATGGAATACAAAAATAATAATAAAAGAATACCTAATCAAAACATACCTTGAAATTCAAATTCAACAAATAAACTTAGCTTAAACTAATAGATTTTAAGAAGACAATGTTGATCATAAGAAAACAATGTTGATTGATTTTATCATTAAACGCAATAAAACAATACTTCTGAAATCGAAGACGTCGGATTAACTCGCTGTTCTCAGGGCCAAAGCTAAGCTCTCTCGCGGAGGCGTGGAAATTGAATACGGTTACCATGACAACCAAAGTCTTGCCGTACGTAAAACACGAAAACTGATAATAGCGTATGTTTTAGGCGAAATTAGATTTAAGTGTCTTTGAAACTTAAGAAGATCGATATCTCAATAGTTACTACGATTGTAACAGATGTTGATAATTTTTTTTGAAGATGTTTTATTAAATCGATTTTTTTTATTGCTTAGTTGGGTGGACGAGCTCACAGCCCACCTGGTGTTAAGTGGTTACTGGAGTCCATAGACATCTGCAACGTAAACGCGCCACCCTCCTTGAGATATAAGTTCTAAGGTCTCAGTAAAGTTACAAGGGCTGTTCCACCCTTCAAACCGAAACGCGTTACTGCTTCACGGCTGAAATAAGCAGGGCGGTGATACCTACCCGTGCGGACTCACAAGAGGTCCTACCACTAGTAAACGAAAATTGCTTTCCACAATTTCAAAATTGATTATATAATTTATTTAGAGAATGGCTTTATAGTTTAATGTCATCAATGACACGGGCACAAATAAACAGATAATTCCTCTGTTTTCCAGTAACCACCGTTCACCGTAGAATCTATACTATAATATTTGATTTATATGATTTGTTTGTTTGTTTGTTTCGAATAGGCTCCGAAACTACTGGACCGATTTGAAAAATTCTTTTTCCATTAGAAGCCGACATTGTCCCTGATGAACATAGGCTACTTTTTAAAAAAAAAAAAAAAATTTATTTTTTTGGTTTCATGTGTGTTTTAATGTTTCCGAAGCGAAGCGAGGGCGGGTCGCTAGTCATCATATAAAACTCAACAAAAACTCCATCCTTTAACATCTGCTTACGTAAGATATACTTCACTCGAGGGAGAGCTTGTTAACGATAAAAGTAGACGAGAACGTAAAAACTTTTATTTGCAAATAGCCTCTACTTCCGCCCCAATATCCAGAGAGCTTCCTCTGTGACCGCGGAGAGCTTTTAAGGCCATACCGGAAATTATCACGGACTTTTGACTGAAGATAAGTGTGTCA